CGTGTGCTTATGTTTAGGGGCAAGACGCAATAGCAGCCGGTTGTCGTGTTTTCAATTGTTGTTTCGGTATGCATGTTTATTCGTCTTGTGTGTGTTGCTTGGATACCAGCAGCCTCTTGACTCATCCCAATAGCAGCAGTGGTGATAGTCATCACTACACTTTTTAAATGCTTCAATTTAACCAACATCAAAGATGGTATTGACCTGGAATCTTCCATCTTTCCAATTGACTACGTAAGTAGATTTTAATAGAATAATATCAATTTGGGCATACACTTTGGCATATCCACACACACGCCTGGTTCTTTGCACTAATCTAGGCTTTTGCAACTGGTCCGTTAAAGTGAATTGGACTTCCTTTGTAGCGTTTACGCGTGTATTGATAGCTTTGATTGGTGAAACAGTCGAGGTGATAAATGTGTTGACATCGAAACCTCAGTGTGAGGATATTCCAAGATAAGCATTTGCGCTGATAAGGGGGAGTTGATGAAAAGGCAGAATCTTGTGCTGGAGACTGCAGTGACCGGATTAACGACTAAGTCACGACAACCTCATCAGTGACAAGCACCAAAATGAAGATTTCGACTTGCATTACTTGATTTTTTTGTTGCATGCTCTCACTTGACACTAACATTTTGCAGAAGCAAAAATGTAGCAGACTTGACCAGAAACAACAAAAGACTGTAGCCGAACACCTGACCAGAATGCTAAGCATGCCACAACGTTTTTGAGCAGTTTCTATAACGCGAATTCAGTCTTACAATTGAGTAAACTTGCCACTCATTTAGTGAGGGTGCTTTGAAGGCAATGCCGATTCAAAGGACGGTTCACAGCGGGGACCGTGATTCAATAATTTAACCACATAACCCCATGAGAAAGGATGATCTGCCGCTTGCTTAATGGATACAGCTTGTGGTATTAAAACAAATTAATCAGTCAACCGTTTCACAATAATCTACCAAACCTGCAGTACTAGGAAACGTTCAAAATTACAAAGTTGTAAACTATCCCCAGTAGTGACTATGATGGCGCTAATGTGCAAGTTGAAACCCTGTGCCAAGTCACCTCTTTCTGCTCGGTTTGCACCTGCCTATGTAATAAGCTCAAGTAATGGCAGATTTACTAGCTTTAATTTCTGTTGAGCAGTGTCTGCTGCAATTTGACAATTATCATGCGCATGTTGGACTGTGGGTAAATTTTGCTGGTCAGTGAGATAAAGAGTGTTACCTTTGGTGCCTCAGCTTGAAAATACATCGATTATAAATTGAAAAGATGCACAAGTCATTTCTTTTCGACTGCATACACTGAAATAGGCTGCAAAAAATGAACATCAATAACGCTAATTTCACAATCGATGTCTAGAGAGCATCAATAAGATCGCAGTCTGGTAGTTGTTACAGATTGCCTAAAATTGAGATTTTAAATAACAGGCAATTAATAAATATGTTTAAGAGAAAACACTTTCCAAGCCTACTGTTTAGGGCTTCGGACACCGATGCGCTTCACCATTAATGTTTTGCAAAGAGCGAAGATGATCGTAACATGCAGCTGGGTTGCTGGCTCACACGCTGTTTATCTTGCCGGCATCTAGATCTTATTGAAGGGACGCAAACTGCCACTACAGCCGGAATTTTCAAACGTGATGTGTCAAAACATGAGTGACAATAGGGACCAAGTAGGTTCCACAAATTGCATCTACTTGCAAACTAACAGGATGGCACTATTTTAGGGTTTAAAATGACAAGCAACCTTTGATAATCCAGGTGAACACGCATTCTTGCATGTACAGCATGAATTCAGACAACTACGTTAAGCACTAATAGCAAATGCGAGGGGGTGGATGAACATCTACTTCACGCCATCCTCTAAATGACGGCAAATCAAGAGAAATGCTGCAGCAAATTCTGACGCTTATTTATATCCAAAAATCAAAATACTGGATTGGCAGTCTGCGTAGTGTGGAAGCATGTGTCGAAGGAGTGGTCATCCATCCATCCATCCGTTAATGTATAAATTTGCTACTCTCCTCCTACGTTGCTGATTTTCTTCCATTGTCTAATGAATCGACGTTAGACGCAAGTAGCAAGTTGGTGAGTTACCCCACTATTCATTATATTTTTTTCCATTTTTTCTTTCGGCGAATTTAACTAATGACGCCATCGATGTCAATTTTTAATCGGCAACAATTAGTACAATGTTGGTCATGTGGAAGCGGTGACATACGTGAAATATTAATTCAGTGATGAAGGGAATGTCAAATACATCGGATTGATTTCTGCATTGACTCTATCATTAAATCTGTTGAAAGAGCCTTGAGGATTTAGTTGCCATCATTCGGGGCATTTGACAACTTAGAAAGAGAAGAGGTACACGGGCATTGCACGGCGGGACGTTTATAGGTTTGCCAGTTTACCTGGACTATACCGGGCAGTCACTGACTTTAATACACGTGCACAAGACACAGCTTGGGTGAGATATCTAGTAAATGATAGTGCCTTGCTGCCTCTGTTCTTAGTTGTCTATGGTGGTATTACAGTAGTGTATTTGGGCTAGATTCAACGCGGTGGCCTTGGCGTGGTTTGCGACTACATCTTGGGGTCCTCCTGCAGACTTATTAACTCATGAATTTCTTTAGTATTCATAATTCATTCTTCATCGTGCCAGTGATTTAAGGTCTAACCAAGACCGTAACATTGGTTTTCAATTCACCTTCCCAGTTACCTGGTTTAGACCACCTCATGCAAATCGACTCGAAGGCTGCCTAGAGTTAGTAATGAAACTTACATTAATTCTCCTGGTGCATAGTTTACTGTTGCATTGGCAGTGTCGCAACATAATGGCGAGTCGCCAAATGCGGTCACTTCACTTTTACGTAGAAACGATGTTCGCTAATTTACTCACCATGTAACACAAACGAATTAATATGCATGTGGATACACCTTTCTCCCCTCCACCAGAATACATTTGAATCTTCCTTACTAGCTAGTCAATCACCATTATGTTGTTGAATGTTGCCGTCGCGTTGTTCCTTCATTGTGGAATGCGTGATCTAGTTGTATAGATAACACTACAGGTCACATGGCACCAAGGTTTTATCTATGGCATTTAGGAAAAGACGTTCCTTCAGGAGGCGATTCTAGGTTCTACTGATCGCCACGCTCAAGCTCCTGCATGTGTGTGTGAGCTCGTGGAGTGGGCTTTCCTTTTTCTCACGTCAGCCGACGTCGCCAGGCTAGCGTTTAGAGTCAACCTTTATGTCTAACACGTGCTTGTAAGGCAAGACTCAAATGTTTGGACAAATTTGGCATTTGGACTGGCAATGCCTGCAAATGTCTGACAAAGTACGCTGTCTTCGACTGCAGTCATCGATCTCCTTGTTTTTTCGGTTGTTCTTACCGTCACGCATATTTCAAGCACACCTCTTCAGAATCGTTCAAATAAACGAACGAAATGTACTTTTATACTCCAAACCTGTTATTGTGGCAATTTCAACGCATGCTTAGAATCGTCTTTGGATCACTGAATTCAATGTTTGGCAACCTGACCCAGTTTACAGATTGACTGCTTTTGACTCACTTGTGTTTCGTTTCTTTTATTGCACTGTCACCCTAAATTGCACACAAGTTCGTCCACACTGTAACACGGATTTGAACATTGGCTTGGACAGTATAACCTCTCATGTTCTAGCTTAGAGAGGCATAGACGCAAGTGAGGTGGATTGAAAATGACTAAAGACATTTCCGAGCAGCTTGCGGAAATTCTAGATGATGCCTAGATTTCTGAACCCACTCAGGACGTACCTGCAAGTACTCCGTCGATTGCAAGCATAACCAACAATGCCTTAGAGATCACTTCAAACCCGCACAACAATGTAACGTTGTTCTGCTGCAACGAGTGTTACAAAGACCTACCCCGGATCGACACCAGCCCCAGGACGACGTAGATAAGGTCAGACTTCTCATTTGGCATTTCAGTCCAGCAAAGATGAATAAGCACAGTTCTTTCATATCCAACAAATGGCTACATATTCACCACTGATGACGAAACCCGAGTAAGCGAATGCACCTTCGCACTTCCCATTAGTGTTCAAGATTCGTTTGTGTTCATTTCGCTTTCGTCGGAACACGCATGCACGTAGCTTAGGAATGATTATTTGCTATTGTGTGTCTTCGGACGCGCATCCTAGTAAGTACGCAATTAGACGCAGTCAGTGGTGAATGACAAGTCAACATGACATCGATGAGACCACCAAATACGTTTTGAAGCATTCGAACTATGTGGCTTTGGCCATAGCCATTGTGGCAGTTTGTGTCATCGTCCAGTGTAACCATTTCATACGATCCCATTGGCTGCAATGAAACAGGCATCTAGTGTGGAACACCGCGCGTGCTAGAAGACAACTTGTGCAATGACCAAGCTGCATTTCCAACATTGACGTTCCTCTCAAAAAGGCATCTTGAGTTAAACACCGCATCTCAATGACTCGTGACATGCACACCCACATGGAGGTATTTTTATTTCCTTGAGTTGGCTTTGAATGTGGCTGCTTTGCTGCAGTTACACACGCACCGCATTGGAATTAGCGGTGCGGCACAAAATTAATATTTTGTATGGTGCTTTGGAGAACACTTGGATACTTCATTGATAAGAGGAAACTGTGGTAATGATGTCATTAGGGTGCATCAGAGCTTGCTGACGGCAGATACATCACGTCTTCATACCAATGTCAACATTTGGTGCTTCCATTATCAAACGTCTTTGGTGGTGGTGGTGGTACAGTTTTCTTACACTCTATTATTTCCTTTGAAAAGTCATCTTAAAGCCGTTAGAAATGGTACTAATTCAAGACGTTTATCAAAATCGGTCAGCGTTCATACATAAAAAAACACAAAAAATACGAGTAACTAGATGTGATATCTTGAACATAAAAGATTGGCGTAAATGTTTGGATCAAATGACCTCCTGTCATACGAGCCTGATATTATTTCAGCTGCAACTCGTCAAAAATACCACTGCTCCATCTCATCGTATGCCTCTGGCTGGTAGTCAGCGTGAAACTTGTTGGCAGATATGTGCGGCACACTCTGCAACAACGACACGTGATCCGCTCCAAGGATGCAGACATCTCTAACATACTTAGTAGCACATGTCATTCTGTAGTCTTTCCAAATGACAAACTTTCCCAGGTAGTTGTAGCCATATTCTGATTTGGGTGATGGACTGTCAAGACAAGCTCCAGGCAGGTGAAGATGACTGTTGTAAGCGAGAGTTGGAAAGTAAAACTCATCGGGATGCCGGATGTTGTTCGGCTTGAGCATGAGGTCACGAATGGGACCGACAGCTGTTCCCATGACCGCTTCATGCAGAAATTCCCTTCTAAATGCACTATAGATTAAACCTTTGTACCAGTTTGCCTACAACATGAGACGACAGCTAAGATTTATGGATTTGAATGCATAGGTTGTTGATGTTAACTAACTCAACAGGAATCTTATGGCATTGACAAAACCGCCGTAATTTATATTCTATTTACAAAGTCCACGGTTATAGCCACGTATTTAAAATATGATCATTGGCCTGAGTAAATTGGTCAGATGGCTTTGTGCTGGTAAAACTGTATGTGACAATGGAACAACGCGCTGCAACATTGTGCGCGTCTAGTTCAATGCCATGTGTGTAATTCAGGGAGTCACGCTAAATCTGGGAAACTCATATTTACCCATTGCTTCTCTGTGAAATATCAAGAAGTGTAAATTCAAAGAAAGAGGACAACACGCCAAACGCATTAACTAGCCACTCACATTTAATGGTAGCAACTGGTTTTTTGTCCGCCACGCATATTTGCCGTGTTCGGTGGATTCAACGAGATTGGATCCATTGAGTTCCTTCAGTGCAGCCACCAACTCCATGTTGGTTCGCAGTGGAAAATCCTGTCCAACCAAATCCACCAGGTACTTCCACGTAGGGTGACTCCTCAACGCCTGTTTGGCACAGGTAATTTGTGGAACCAGGACTGATTCGTCACATCAATGTACTACCACGCGCTCTTCATATGGAACTAACTCCACATTTGTACCGAAACACGTCGCAAATCCACGTAGGGCCTGTGTAACTGAGAAGTCTAAACGCCTGTCAGCATGAATGCAGTAGTAGTTATTTTGTCTGTAAATCATTCGAAGGAGTCGAGCAATCTGACGCACGTCCTTATGCACCACCAACGTAAACGTTATATCCATGTCAACGTGGGGATCAACTGCGGTGGTAAAACGCTCCCGGAAATGGAGACAGTGTGGGTGAGCAGGATAGTTGATTTTGGCAAAGAACTCTGCTGATTCCGCCGAAGAGCCTGTTAGTGAAACTGAAGTGTCACGTGCGTTGTAGTGGTTGAAAAGAAGCAGCGTTACTCCAAGTGTTATTATCACGATGATGAAAAGGTAACGGCCGCTTTGTCGTCGCAGATATCTGATAAGTGGTTGACATCCTTAAACGAATACAAAACGCGACTTGCAGCCATTTAATTGCTTACAAATTGAGCCATACTTGTTAAGTAAAAACATCCATTGTTTTAGGTGTGAGAATATAGATTTGGGTAAGATACACGTAAAAATCAAACGCAGTAAATGTTGAATTCGACTATGCTGACCATCAATTCAGGTTAGTTGCTAAATGCTCAAATGTGCGTTTTGCAACAGTTGAGTTGGTAAAGGCCCAAAGAAATGGAGGGAGCCTTTGCTGTCTAGGCTTTGTCATTGGTATTATGATCTAACAGTGCCCATGTTCATGCCTATTCGTGTTACAATCCTAGGCCACGCAGAACACGTGGTACAAAAATTGTTTATTAGCCGACATATCAGTAATGAGATTTTGCGGGATTTGAATCACTGTAAATGCAGCGTTTCTGCAACTATGATAAATAGTAGGTCTGAAAACTTACCGGCGTAGAATATCAAGCGATATTTCGAACTTTGAATCATTTTTAAATGCCGAGACTTCACACGTGAATTCAACAACACAAGCATGTGAGTACATTTTTGCACTAATATAAGTAAGTGGGAATGAATGACAGAATTTGCATTTACCGCATTTATAACTATTTGAATCAAGCCAATTAGTAATGCGGATGCATAAATGAAGATATGGTGATGGTTGCTGTGGTGAGTGATAGCTAAGCACCCAATCGCACACACTGGCGATTCAACTGATTGTTGTACTTTCAAATTCGCGTCTTGGTGTATTGACACCGTATAATTTTGATAGAAGACTCCATACTGTTCACTTCAACTTCGATAAGCATGATAAAAAATGCAGCCTCGAGTGCATTGGAAAAAAATCCATCAAATTAGAAGACAGTTTGATGGACGCTGCAAATCACCAGGTCTCCACAATGCTTCCATTTACACGCTATATCATGAGGGAATAATGACTAATCAGTGGTTCGGCATCAATACGCAATTCATCTTTGAAATTTATACCTGCTGTGCAGGGATAAGGAATCCGCCGTAATTGACGTCGTGGAGGATGTGGAAAAGGTGGATGGGAGAAGCGAGCGACCGATGATGGATTTTTTGCAAATTATGTGTTCGATCATCTTACTAGAAACTATGTACTTATCAATTTTAAGAAAATCGTCAAATGCAAACACTTTGTAGGTTTCAGTTCTTTTTACGATGCACACGTCGACAATGAATTTGTTTTATGTTCACATTTGTGACCGCTGCGGTAACGCTTCAACTCAGCAATACTGTTTGCGATTTCGTCTACATTTTCCTGTCGCAGTCGATCTACAGTTTGACACGGACATGGATTTTATACTGGTGACTCACGATGACACTCATCAGATTACTCGAAACATTTCACTGATCTTTCACATTAACAACCACTCATGCAGTCACATCGACTATCGCTCAATCATTCTTGTTGTAATTGCTAGTCGTTGAGTTGCAACGTGTTCTTGTGCAAATATGGATTTATCTGGAGAAGACACGCCTACACTTACTTTCTACATGGTCGTGTGAATAGCATTTGTGTAGTTTAATATGACTGTCTTGAGACGATTTACTAATAGTGGATTAAGTTTAAGGGAATAAAACGATTGCCGGTTGTGCTTGCACGATAATTGGAGGGAATGTGCCGACGTCAAGGACGTTTCAAACGCTTTTAAGTTGTGTCAAATTGCGGTCTGATTGACGATGGCACGCTTCCCGTTTGAAATCACGTTGAGACGTCAACGCAATCGCCTGATATTCCAGACAGTGCCGTACAAATGCTGACGATGTGGTGCCTAACAAGGGTATTTTCTGTAGGAGGCAGTCATGTGAAAACTCTCGGTTCATTAATGAGGTCAAGAGCGCAGACAAGATGTACTTGCCGAGTACGTTTGAGATGCCCGCAACCTTGAAAGAGATCGCGTGGTACTACTGCAGAATGTACCGCACATATCTGCCAGTGAATTCCACGCTGACTATCGACCAGAATGATTACAACATGATGGATCAATGGCGTCAAAGCTGATATATATATAATCGATATTTCAGAAAGTGCTTTAGCATTTCAGTTCACCCGCATGGAATTAAAGCACCTGTTTGCAACAGTCCACGTGCCAATCGTGAAATTTCTAGGCACAACTTGACGGAGGGCAGCGAAACAGCATTCTAAGCTGACCAGTGTATTGTGATTTGAAGCTGTTTTTGTGGGAATTGGACCTGTGCATATGGAGTAGAACACCCGAGCCCTGATAGGAAGAAGGCTGGTACAACAGAACAGGCTTTATTGACCAATCACAAGCCAGAACCACCAGTCATGTTCTGTCCGTCCAAGTTCCCCAAGCCGGCGACGCCACTTATTACATACTGCACCTCATTCGTGTGCTTCTCTGGTTGGCGGTGAAACACAGTATTGGCTGAGTCCAGTGTAGTTTAATATGTCTGCGTCCTCAGACGTCGCCAAACTGCCTCCCCTTCAGGAGTAAAGCTCTCCTCAGCTTCTGGCTTGGTTCACCCCACCGTTCATGATTGGTAAGATATCCATTTCGACACTCCATGCACCCCACATCTGGCGGGATAGTGGCCCAATCGAATATTTGACGATGGATTATTCCCTTGTAGGATTGCAGGAAGGCCGCTTTATCCATCATCCATCACTTCTGTAGTTTGTGTCGCATATTAATTGATGCTAAAACAAAATGGGGGCCATTGTTATTTCTGCGTGGGGTCATCAAACGTATAGAGATTACTTGACGAGGTAAAATGCAAGTCTTAGAGTAAAAAGGTGACAGTCCAGCGGGCTAGTTGCTTGCATGTGCTTTCAGTCATCCGATTGCATGAACCCACTGCCTATTAAGGGTGGTTAAAACAGCATTGCTGATTGTCTTAATGATAGTCCAATAGCAGATCGTGATTGGTTAAATTTACCACACACATCCAAGATGCCAGGTTACCTCACACTGGCCTAGCGCAAATGGTTCGGCGTCTTATAAATTATTTTGATGATTAACGACGCTGTAGGAGCTACACTTATTTCCAGCATAATGATTGATGTATTCTGCGACATGTCGGATACTACAGTCGAGAGTGGAATGGCAGTGTGAGATATGCGAGAGTTGGTAGAAATTGTCTTTGAGGTTAGGAAAAGAAGACGGCTGCCTGCCAACTCGCAGAGGGTCAAATGCGGCATCGACCGCTACTGCAGTAGTCTTTGTTGACGGTGACATCTTTGAGCGACTCAATTTAACAGGTGGTGGTAACACAGTCGCGTAAACGCAATTTGATGCCAAGTGTTTGACGTAGGTGCCAATCAGAGGGGAAGCAAATTGTGTTTTTGGTATGCATTGAGGGTAAAGGCAAACTCAATTAAGGACAGTGTACTGCTGACTAAAACTTATGCCATTGTTTTGTCACCGCTCTTAACTATCACAGGTAATTAAGAGTCACATGTAGAGTTTGCCCGCCCACTTCGTTGATTTCTGTTGGCGTGTTTGGGCACGACCTTAAAGTCTGTTAGGCACTTGTGGCGCTTTGACATTGAGGTGAATGTGTGATGCATGTCGTTTGTAAGATAGTAACTGCGTTACTTTTTTAAGGGGTTTGTTTTAAAACAATGCCAATTGCACAGTGAGAGGCATTGATGAACAGGGAGTGAATGTCGTCTAACTGCTGGAAAACAGGCGTGGCAGTCTTCAAGAGAGACTCACTAGTGGCTGTGAAATCTTTTCGAGTCAAGTTGGTTGTGGACATGTTTGTATTTCCACATTTGAATAGATTGGTCACAAGCAGTTGATTATGAGCGACGTTGATTAGATATCGAAGCTAGAGGTTAGGAATGCCCGGGGTAGGGTGGAGTTGATTAAGAGACGTTGGTTCTGGTGTCTTTGCGACTGCAATTGATTTTAAATTAGAAAGGCATTATGCCTGCAGCCGAAATGCTGTGACCTACAGAGTCGATTTCTAAAATGTCCAACACGCAATTAAATACATTTATAATTAAACTGTGTTCATTGAGAGGCTAAAGATACTCCTCGCAATTCCAAAGATCAATCAGAAGATGGTAGATTGAGTGCTAACTAACACACGTAAATGAATCTACTGGAATCTGGCAGCAGGATCTTAACAAATCTAGCTTTCAAAACGCACACGTGCATGTGGCTAAAACGAAAAGAAACGTGGATGCCGTGTAAAGTGACCGTGCTGATTGCCTGAACCCGACTCACAGACAACTTCCATGGGAACACGGCACGACGACAGGTTTAATGGAAGCCAATCAGCACAATGCACAACAACGGTGCATTTTTGTCACTGACGTGCAAAATACGTCAGCTACAATCATTAACGACGCCTTCCCATGAATGCTAAATACGATGCAGTGTGCAGCAACTGCTCGGTCAGGTTCCAATTGATGGTGTCTGCACGCAAGTTATAAGAATTCCGTGATTTTCACCTATCACCGCCAACGTAGTTGCAGTTTGCGTCATCGTTTGGTGTGATCTGTTTAAACGAATGCCTTGTTTGCACTAAAACCAGCATGCGTACCAACAACCTAGCCACATTTCAGGATTCTTCACTGTTCACTTCGAGATATCCATAGTGGTATTCTTCTCCGGAATGAGTCTTGTAGCCACAGCTCTTGAAATTATTATTAGTTTCTCTTTGTGGTTTTACGAAAGGCCTGCACATTGTTTTTTTTGACCAATGCAATTGGTTTTAATACTCGTTTATTCGTAACATCAAGTGTGGCAGAGTTGTGAAGTCAGCTTTCCGTAGCAATGCAATTTTGCACAATGCAATTCCTACGGATTCGTGAGCCACGCAATAACTTGCTTGTTGGACATCACTGCTGCTTACAAATGGATAGTCAGCATATGCTACTTTGGTAGAGAAGACGTGTTCCTAGATTATAAAAAGATGCATGTATTCATTTAGCCTAGGACAGAAATTACGTGTACGTGGGTGTCTTTCATCTCTGCATGACAGCCAACTAACATTTGAGTTAAAGTATGAATAGTGACATCGATAGTTGACTTCAATTCACTGTACCACTTGGCAAAACCAAATAGACAGTATGTGTTCGTGTTTCGTCATGTGACAATTCACCGGCCCCCAGCATAACCATAAATTTTAGGCTTAAACAATTGCCTGAATTACAAAAGTGGGCCTTATTTGTAAGGCATAAGTGGATATGTAGAAAATACATTGATTAAGCAAAAGGGCTCATGAGAAACAGTTTCCATGCGGTTTATTCGTGATGTGAATGACTGAGTGCATCTTCACCTATAAAATTGATTTGACTGCGACAAGTGGCAGACTTCACTATTAATCGACAACACTTCAGGTTGTGATTCAGTTGATACGGAGTACCACTACACGTAGTGTTTGGCAGCACATCTAACTGTTTTATTTGAACGCTTCACGTGAAGTGTGTGGCAATAACGGCGGCGGAAGTAGACGAGTACCTCGTCAAGAGCCTACTTCGTCAGACCTTTAGAGGCAGTGTCAGTGTAGTTTTGATTGTGCATCGAGACAGCCTACGCACCTGGCAAGCATTGCTTCAAAGCAAGTGTACTAAATCATGTTTGTTCTTGTTCGAAATCGTTAATACGAGACTTTACTTGCAAGTTGTTGTGTTCTCTCAGGTCAAACTGCAAATTGTTGTGCTACACAAAACACAACATCTGTTTAATGCGGAGTCGGCTACAAATTCGCATATTTTATCAATCCCAATTGCAGGCTGCCTTCCTGTCAATTTGCTTCTGTTGCTTTGATGACCCGACTCGAGTGAGCGAATGCAACTTAACACTTCCCATTAGTGTTCGGGAATTCTCTGTGTTCATTTACATGTCAGATAACGTTACTTGTTGTGGTATGTCTTTAGACGTGCATTTTCCAAAATAAGTAATTAGATGTTGTCTGCGGCTAATGCCTGGCTAACATGTCACAGATAAGACAACTAAATTGTTTTCAATCACACGAAATGTGTGGCCTTGGCCATAGCCATTGTGGCATTTTATATGCCATCGTCCATTGTGATCCCTTCATAAGATCCCATTATCTGCAATGAAACAGGCAACAGACGTTCTTCTTTACGATGCATCTAGGGTGAAACACCGCATGTGCTAGAAGATACTCTGTGCATGACAAGTGATATGCACACCGACACGACACTAATTTCATTTCTTTGAGTTGGCTTTGAATGTGCCACTTGGCGTGGCTGCTTTGTCGTACTCACACGCACACACACAGAGACACGCCCCATAGGGCAATTGCCAGTGCGTCGCAAAATCAACATTTTATGTGGTGTTTCGAAGAACATTTGGATAATGTGATGCTAAGAGGAAATAGCAGTTAGGATATAATTCGAGTGCTCGTCGTGTACATCAGATGATGTTGACGGTAGGAGAATGGAAGCAGATACAGGTTTGTTAATGGGACAGTGTGTTTTTTGAAGGTACCAAGTTGCCACCGCATTGAAGCCAACTCGATTACGCTGCTCTGACACCCGCACAGACTCCGAGGACCAGAGACGGCTGAGCAATTTCCTTTACTAGATGGCTCAGCCAGGTGATGCACGCCAGGTACGTGAGTATTAAATTTAGTCACTAAATGGTACAGTCTGGGTGAGGTATTACTGGTACAAACGCGAAAATGGTCAGTTGGACAAAGTGGGTACATGCACAGGGCTGAAGGATCCAACGATACCGCATGGCTGACGGCCACACCAAGAAAATTGGACGTGTGACTGAGACTGCTACGACTGGCACAATGCACGGTAATCAACACGATTTGCAACACATGCTGAACAAATATCCTGAAGTTCTTCCGTCATGTAATATCCGTGTTGCCCATCTCTTCCAAAGTTGTCAAATGTCCAGAATAATGGCAACGACATCTGCAATCTCTTTCAACGGATTCAGCGATGTAGTCAATGCAGAAATCAAGCCGATCTATTTACATTCTTCTCTTCATTGCGTTTTATAACTGGACTGCAGGTGCCATTAAGTTATGCGTTCTCATAACTACATCGACAACTAATATCTAACATTTGTTACTACTTACACATGACCAGCCATGTACTATATGCAGCTGATCCAAAATTGACCTTGGTTTCTTGATTTGAGTAATATGCCCAATTGATTCAAATGATCACCAAAAGACATTTCTTTGCTTACACAATTCCACAGAATTTTCCAGCGTGTTAACACTAAACATGACACGACTTGAGCACTTATTTTTCTTTTGTAAACTCAGGCAACACCTCTGTTAAAAATAGTGCTGCTTAACCTGTTGTTTCAAGATAATAATCAAAAAAAGTCAGCTTCCAAATATTAAAAAACACTGAAAAAGAAGTAACTAGATGTGATATCGTGAACACAAACGTTCGGCGTAAATGTTCGGATCAAACATGCGCCTATTATAAGAGCCTGATTTTATTTCAGCTGCGACTCGTTGGAAATACCACTCCTCCATCTCATCGTATGCCTCTGGTTGGTAGTCAGCGTGGAACTTGTTGGCAAATAGGTGTGGCACAGGCTTCAACAACGCCACGTGATTCGTTCCAAGAATGCAAACATCCCTAACGTACATCGTAGCACAAGTCATACCGTAGTCTTTCCAAATGACAAACTTGGCAAGTAGTTGAGGTTTACCTCAGACATCGGTGCTGGGCTATGCAGACAAGATCCAGGGAGGCGGAGTCGGCTGTTGCAAGCGAGAGTTGGGAAAAAGAACTCGTCTGGGTGTCTGATATAATTCGGTTTGAGCATTAGATCAAGAATGGGGCCGAGGGCTCTTCCCATGACTGCTTCGTGCAGACATTCCCTTCGGAAGGCACCGTACATTGAGCCCTTGTACCATGTTGCCTGCAACATGAAACTTCAGCGTAGCTACTTGGCTAAGAATGCAAATGTCGCATGTCTAAGTTTTAATGTGAATGTGAGCCTACACTCCTACTGGACTTTTAACACTATACCTAGTACTGTATATTAGTAGTTCAGCGCACGTTTTCTTACCTCGTATTCTTCTAAATCTCATCGGGTGCGTAATTCGCTTGCCTTTACCCACTAAAGAAGGAAGACGCGCAAATAAATAGACGATGTGCACGTGCTTCTACCGATTTCAACCATCCCCTTGCCTTCAGCTTACTAAGGTTTGCTACAGACTTACGTATTTACTACATAGTTTCCCGATTTTAACTAACCTAACAGCAAGTAAACGGCATTCGCAAAGCCACCGTGATTTGTTTCAAATTTGTTTAGCTGACGTATATAGACGATAGTCATAGCAACGTATTTGAAATATGATTGATGGCCCGAGTAATGTCTCAAGAAGATTGAGGCTAATGAAGACGGCATCTGACAAATTTGTGCGTCGTCTTTTTGTCTGGCATGTTTGTAATTCAAGGAGTCATGCTTAACCTAGGAAACTCAACTTTACTCACTGCTTCTTTATTAAATATTAAGCCGTGCAAATTTGCGGAGAGAGGATAACACGTCAGACGCAT